CTCCTTTTATGAGGAAATGAATAGATTTTCCATCCCTGCAAAAGCTAAAAACTTGTTCCTCTCACTGGCTGAGTCTATAGCCCAGACACTGAATGTCACTTTGTGGGGGGACCAACATGGAAGACCACTGGCTTTGGGAAGCAATGGAACTGGACCCACAGGAGCCTTTTAATGAGACTGCTATCCCAAAACACAGAAAAGATGTCTGGCTCTTAAAAACTTCCATCATCGGAAATGACTTTATCTCCCACCCTGGAGGCCAATTCTCCACCCCTGTGGGGGATTTAACTTGTTTAGGACAGAAGTTTTACAATGACACTGTCCAAGAGACCCAGTGGTGGGGAGCTCCTAACCATACAGAACCCCAGCTCCACCCACTGGCCAACTTTTCTAATCTCCAGAAAGTGTGGGATGATCTTACTGCAAACATAGATCGGCGGGCACCCAGGGGGCTATATTGGATCTGTGGAAAGCAAGCTTATACAGTGCTACCTAAAAGCTGGTTTGGGTCTTGTGTACTAGGCTCAATCAGACCATCCTTCTTATTGCTTCCCCTCAGACAAGTTGAGAAACTGGGAGTCCCCACATATGAAGAAAGATTAAGTAGACAAAAACGGGGTGCCTTACAAATTGGTAATTGGAAAGAGGGCGAATGGCTTCCTGAGCGAATCATCCAGTGCTATGGTCCTGCCACCTGGGCAGAAGATGGGTCCTGGGGCTATTGCACTCCTATGTATGTGCTCAACTGCATCATCATGCTGCAGGCTGTTGTTGAAATTATAACTAATGAAACTGCAAGAGCCCTCAACTTGCTGGCAAAACGAAGCACTAAATTGCAAAATGCCATCTATCAAAACTGCTTGGCTTTAGCCTATCTGCTTGCTTTTCAAGGAGGAGCTTGTGGAAAATTCAACCTGAGCAACTGCTGCTTACAGATTGATGATGAAGGAAAGGTCATAGAAGAGATCACAGACAGAATGAGAAAGCTTGCCCACGTCCCCATCCAGACTTGGAGAGGATGGGATCCCAATGACCCATTTGGAGGGTGGTTTCTGTCTTAGGTGGATTCAAAACTTTGATAGAGGCAATGGGCCTAATCCTAGGAGCATGGTTAATACTGCCCTGCCTGGTCCCCCAGGTACGGTGGTCTACCAGGACTATTATGGAGGCCATTATAGAAAGGAAGACGGCCTCACATGTAATGATGCTATGGAAACACAAACCCCTAGATCACGATGATGCTCTTTGACCCTAGTTGGGTCCGAGCATCAAAGGGGGGAATAATGTAGTAGGGAGGAGGATCAGAAAACGAACTAGGCCCGAGTTCCGATAAGGTAGCAGTGGGGAAGGGAGGGCATAGCAGAGAGATAAAACCTAAAGAATTCAAAGGCAAAGAAGGTCACATAGCACTAGGGGTAGAAGGGCACTTAGCACTATGGTAAAGTAATCTATAGAACTGCATGGAACCATATATGGGTTAAACCTTGTTTTTTAAATTTTATTGCCTCTGTAACATGCCTGCAAGGGTATATAAGGTGAGACACCTTTGTTCTCGGGGCTCAGCCTTTGAACACAAGTCCGCTGGGTCCATGCCGGCACAATAAAATGTTGCTTCCTGCTAAACTGCCTCAGTGTCCTGTATCTCAGCTAGCAACATCCCACAACAGCAGCACAAGCTGGGAGTATAGCTCAGTGGTAGAGGATTTGCCTAGCATATGTGAGGCCCTGGATTTGATTTCCCAGTACCGAAAAAACAAAATGTGAAGACAACTTCAGCCTAATTGACATCTGACTGCAACCTGAGACCCTGAATCAGAACTACTCAGTTCCTGAATTCCTGATCCACGACATCTATGGGCTATAATAAATGTTTGGGGATAATTACTGCAATTTCTAAAGTCTTTTTTTCCATAATAGATTCTTTTGTAGAAAAATGTAATTCTATTTTTCTTCACCTTCCCTTCACTCTGCTTTTTGAGACAGAATTTCACTATGGAGCCCAGGCTGACCTTGAACTTGTGATCCTCCTGTCTCAGCCTCTTGATTGCTGAAATTACAGGTGTGTACTGCCACACCCAGCTCTATTTTTCTTCTCCTGAATGCTCTGCATTTGTTTCTTAGTGGCCAGGATACACTTTGTGGGAGACTGAGTTGCCAGAAGTAGCAGCCAGAACACCTGGTGGTCTCTCCCAAGTCACTCCACCAAACCAGCCAGCTGACCATCGCTTTCCCCCTGTTCCCAGGCACTTGCAGGTGAGGTGGAATCAGGAATCATATCTCCTGGGGTCCCACACATCCCATTAGAGAAATCAGAGAAGAGGCCAAGTCGATGGCAGCTGTTCATATGACATACTTTATTTCCAATCTATAACCATTAAAAACACTTTGTAAGTTTACACTGTACAGTTATTCTCATGTCTGAATTTAAGACACAGGGCTGGGAGAGCTGGTGGATTGGACTGCAGTCCTCCTTGCGCACACTGCATCCTAGGAAGGAGACTTTTGAAGACAGAAGTGAGGAAAGAACAGTGGAAGGGAGAGGCAAACAGTTGGCCCAAGGATGCTCTTGGTCCCTTCCCTCCTGAGAGGTCCCTCAGGGCCCATGACTGCAGGACTGAAGGACCTCCACCAGGAAAACAAGCTGAGCTGGGAAAGGGGCTTCACAGTATTGGCAGGGTTGAGGAGGGGGCCAGGATGATGAGGAAGGACAGCTTCTGGCTCTCTTCACCAGGTTCTGGAGTTGGAGCTATTTTTGGCACTGTCTACAAAGTCTCCCTAGTGTTGGGAGGACAAGGGAGAGGAGGAAGGGCTAGGGGCTTGGATTCTTTTCTTGTGGAATTAGGTTTCTTTCCATGTAGGGAGAAGCCATTTGGCTATGATGAGTCCCAGGAGATAAAAGGGTCCTTTGCCTCCTGTCTCACAGGACTCCCACTCTTCCCTGTGCCACCACCTCCACAGCCTTTTGTAAAACCCAGACAAGTGGGAGAGGTGAGCAGGGCTGGAAGGGAGCCAGGGGCCGGGAAAGGAACGCATGTCTTTTCCAGGCCCTGCAGCTTCCAGGAAGAGGAGACACCACAGAGTAGGTTCAGTTTGGAGGGGAGGAGTGTCCAATCTCAGGAGTCTAGATGACATGGGTGCTGTTGGCTGAGCCAGCCCCAGTCACTCTCCAGGCTGCACTGGCCACTAGCCTGGGTCATTAGTTGTGTAATGGCAAACTTGTGTAAATCAGAACAACCTGGAGGCTTTTTCAAACCCCATCTTGCACTTCTAATCCAATGTGTCTTCTTGGGTGGGGCCCATAATCTGTACTTCTGTCAAGTCCTCCTATTGATGGAACACAGTTTGAGAACCCCTAATTTGGAATAGTGCCCTCATGCACCTGGGTAACCTGATGCCTCTAGGTAGGGCCCAGACTGCCAGGCACCAAAGGATCTGGAATGTTTCTGAGAATGGTCTTATGGTGGCTGAGCACCCTGTGCGAAGAAGTAACTAAGGCACAGAGATCAGTGGCAGAGCTGAAAGAAGAATCAGAACACCAGGGCCTAGTGGAGAAAGGATGGGCTGCAGGACCCCAAAACATGCAAGGTGCTGGAGCCTGAAGGTTCATCCTGGTGCTCATCAAAGGACCACAAAAATGGGGTCAGAGAAGTTAATAGATTGGTTCAGACTTGTCAGGTTTTCAGTTGCTGGCTGAGGTCCCTCTTAATGGGAATAGGTTGGAGTGGCTTCAGAATGGAGGTAGCCAGGCCCTGACTGCTTTAGCCCTTTCAGGATGTTCAGAGGAAACCAACACTCCTTTCCTTGGGGTTCCCAGATTGCTGGTGAAGGGCAGGAAAGATAGGAGCAGGACTGAGGGATGCAGAAGGGGGAAGAATATGGTTCCAGGAGGCTGAGGGAGGAGTGGGCAGGACAGGAGGTGGAGGAGCCCCAAGCAGGAGCTCCAGCTCAGCATCACATTCTCAGTGCCTTTTGGATCTTGGCTCTGCAAACTTCAAATGGCATTGGGTTGGGTGGGTGAGCTATAGGTTCTGCCAGGAGTAGATGTTCTGGAGGTGGTGAGGCCCAGGGGAACACAAAAGGGATAGGTGGACAGAAGACTAGAGAGGGGGGGGAAAGGACCTAAGGCAGGCTGTACTTGCTTTATACCAGGGCACATGAGGCCCAAAGCCAAAAGCCAAGTCCATGTCTAGACAAACCCACCCAGTAGAAGGTGCTGGGACTGCTGCTAGAAAGCTGTGGAGAGAGAAGACAGCATGGCTCAAGAGTGGGATTGAGGGATATCTTTCTGGACTCGGGGATTGCTGTGGTGGGATGAGCCAATGAGAAGGGCTTGGTAGGGCTGATTTTGCCTGATGCATCTGGGAAAAGGCACCCCTTGAGTGTGAGAAACCCCCAATAAATAAACACAGAAGCCAGGATATTACCAGATCTGAGAGAAAGAAAACCTTAGAGTTGGGACAACAGACACACGCAATTCCCTAATGGGATGAGAATGTGATTTGCAGGACATGAAGGAGAGCTGAGATTATAGGAAAATCCATAGGAAAGAGCAGTGCTAGGGAGGGAGTTGTAGCAGGGCTAAAGGCTGGTGCCACAGTAAAATCTGGCCATGGGCCAGGGCCACTCCATCTGCTGGTAGGAACCAGCTAAGGAGAAGAGGAGGTAGGGGGAGGGGAAGCTTTGGAAGAAGATGATAAAAGAAAGAATGTGTAAGAAAGCAGACTGAGCCCAGAGAAGCAGGGGCTCAGTCAAGACCACAGAAAGGCAGGATCTGGTCTTCTGTCACTGGACTGCAGACCTGCAGGGAGCTAGGAGTCCTAGGATCTGCTGTTGGCTCTGCCTCTGGTTTGCTGTGAGACCTTGGATGAGCTGCTCCCCATTTGAGGACTAGGGATGTACCTCAGTGGTACAATACTTGCCTAGCATGCACAGGGCTAGGCTAAGGTTTGACGCCCAGCACTGACAAAAAAAAAAAAAAGCTATTTAAAATGGTTGCAATAGAAAATTTCATGTTATATTTTGCCACAATTAAAAAAGGGACAAGGTTGTTCTAGACTATCTGATGGCCCATTTTCTATTTTTTCAGAACTTTTTTTTTTTTTTGGCAACATGGGGTTTGAACTCAGAGCTTCATGCTTGCTGAGCAGGTGCTCATACTGCTTGAGCCACTCCACTAGCCCACTTTCTATTTTTTAAGACTAATAAGGGAGTCAGATGGGTGTCATCCTGAGCCAAGGCACTGAGGGGCTGAATGGGGACACTGAATGTGTTCAGATCACCTCCGTGTGCACAGAACCTCCCACTTTTCCAAGTAGACTACAAGCATCCTCACTAGAGCTACGCAAGGTCGGACATCATTCCCACTTTTTGGCTGAGGAAACTGAGGCATAGATTAGTCACATAATTTGGCCAAGTTCATTCAAGCTGGTGACAGTTTATTTATTAATTTATTTTTGTAAACAGTCAATTGAAAAACATTCTTGCATCTAAGGTCAACCTGTTAAAACAGGCTCCATGGCCTTTGAAGAAAGGAGCCATGCTCTAAGTTAGTAGCAGAAGAGATTGTTTCCCATGGCAGACACACTTACTTCCCTGTATTGAATGATGAAAGTTATAAAATCCTGGTGTGTTTGTCCTTTTACCATGACTACTAGGAAACTCGAGAGCGAAATTTAATTGCATTATTATTGAATTACCTCACATAGATTTGGGAAATAAGTCACCTTTCTTTTGACTTTCTCTTTTTGTTATCTTATTAAATACATATGACTAAGATTGTAAATTGCCTCTGATGCTTTTTGTAAACCCTCAGAGTAACTAAACCCAAACAGAGCTTGGTTGAGGGCCAGGTTTCCTAGATCCCAGCACAGTGCTCAGAGCTTTTTTTAAATTTTTTTTTATTTTTAAATACAGCACTGGGGTTATTGTTTAAAAGAACTCTTGCCTAATGGTCAGGGCTGGAAACATAAATGCTGTGATCAAGGGTGCTTAGGATGCCCCAGGGAGTTGGTTAAAGATGCAGAGTCTCAGTCCAGAAGGCTGTGGCTGGACTCAGGGATCTGCATTTTGACCAGACCCTCAGGGAAGTCTGATGCAGGAGGTCCCTGACCTACCTTGTGGAACACACCGGTCCAGCGGTTTGAGTGGCTTGTTTCCCATCTGGGTTGGTAATGGCATATTCTGATTGTCCTGTACCTAGCCAGTGCCCCAAGGGGACAGTGGGTTTGCACAGGAAGCAGAACAAAGTAGAGTTGGGGGACCCAAGATCCAAGTGCTCATCCAAACTTGATGACCATCCAGTTGGGGGCTCTGAGATAAAACCTGTGCCTCAGTTTCCTCACCTGCAGAATGGATGCACCAACCCTGTCCTGCCAAGGCTGCCTCCCAGAGCTGTCCTTGAAAGATCTGAAGGAGATGGGGCAGGGGAGTGACCTCTAATTAGTGAAGTGCCCAGGAAGGGCCTATTATCATTAGTGAGGAGGTAGTGGGAGCTTGGGGCTGACAGGTTGGAAGGGGGGGCATTCTGTATGGGTAAGGAAAGGGAGGCAGGAGGAAAAGAGGCTGGAAGCAAATCCACAAACAATACACAGAAGTGGCATGGTGGAGCCATAAGGGCATCAGGGCATAGCTTAGCTGGATGTTGGCTGCACAGGGCTATGCTAGGGTTTGATACCCAGCACTGACACCTGGATGACAGCTGGTAGAACGGCATCTCTGGGAGGCCACAGGGTGGAGCCCATTTGAAGTAGGACTTCTTAGAGGTCAGCCTTTGGTGGGGAAAGGATGGAGATGAAGTCTGCCAGGGGCCAGGAAACTGGATGCTGATGCCTTGTATATTCAAGCCTTGGTGGCACCAAAGTGGTTTAATTTTCATTTCCAAAGCCAGTCACCATTGCCCCCAGAAGAGTTAAATTTGGCTCTTGGAAGAGATCAGACATAAGAAATGTGAAGTGACCCAGTTTAGGTTCAACCATGGAACTGCCTCCCTTTCCCCCAAAAACAACTGATGCCAACCCCATGGGTCCAAGCCAGGCAGTGTGGAATACCAGGGTACCTTGGGACTTTGGTTGAAGAAAGAGAGGAGGAGAAAAGGAGGAAGATGGCTAGGGGAGCAACAAGTGGAAGGAAGTAGGAAGGGGAAGAAAGGGACAAGGGCAGTGTTCTTCCTGGGAGCCAAGTCCTCCAGGGAGTCCCCACTGTAGGACAGGCAGTTTTCTGCTTTGGGAATGTTACCAAGACATAAAAGGCATTTGAAGAAACAAACTTAGAAATTACATTCCAAAAGAGTAGAGAGTTTTTACAAACCAACCCTCCCACCCCCAAAAAAGAAAACAACCAGTTACCAAGTAATGCTAAAAACCAAACCAATATTTACACATAACATTTTCAACCCCATCAAGCCCCACATCTAGAGGCTTCTGTTGGAACAGTGATGAGTAGCCTTGCACAGTGGATGCAAGAAGTAGAAACAGGGGTCTCCGACACCCACTGGGGCCACAGGCCAGGTGCTGAGACAACAAGGACACATGAAAATCTCAATTAACGATGGTAAGGCTGAGTGGCCCGTGGGCCCCAAGGGTTGGGTCTTATGAGGATTTCTCCCCAAGGCTGAGAACACAGCCTCCCTGGCCTTCTACAGCTCTGGGAAGTGGCAGAAGGCCTCTGTTGGCTGTGGCCTGGTGTGAATCCCCTCACTTGGAGATAACCTTTGAGGGGCCCATGACCTCTTGGGTAGGAGCAGTGGCATCCCACAGGGAAGGCCCACAGTTCCTTCGGCCTGTGGCTCTGCCCATACAAGTCACTAGGGCATGAGGCAGCAGCTGGTAGGACTGACAGGACACTGATGTGGTGCCCAGAGGGAATGGGGATGAAGGGCTTTGAGTAACTGGTCCAGACGACCCTGAAAAGATGGACTGGGAAGTGACAGGTGGGAATGCAGAGTGTCTCCTGAGTCTGGGGGCAAACCAGCAATGTTGTTGGCTCTCAGCCTTTCTGATGGGGAGTTCTGCCCATCCATCCTGGGACGGACTCTAGGACCCCAGCCAATGACAGGAGGGCTGCACATCTGGCATATGTGTGTGGGGTATTCAACCAAAATGGGTTCATTGGCACCAAGTGAGGCCGTCCTCACTGTACTGAAGTGAACCATGCTGCAGTCCACTGGATGGGCCCAGAGGCTCCCATGAGCATGGGAAGGGTAGGCAGTAGAGCTGGGGTCAGAGCAGAGCCATGAACGGCCATAAGGCTAAGGAGACAGGCTGGTGAAAAGGCTGGCAGGCTGGTAGACACTCTCAGATCCATGTGCAAAGCTGCAATAAACAACATTCTCGAAGTCCATCCTGTTTTCCTGCAAGTTCTCACTTGGGGGAGCTTGAAGGGGTCTCTGTGCTCTTGATAAGAGCTATAGTCATCCATGTTTGACTCACTAAAGAAGGTGTCAGAGGATGGGGGATATCAGAAGGGAAAGGGAGGACATTTGGGGAGTGGTGAGGTCAGTCCACCTCACCACCCTGTCTGGAGCATTTACAGACTGACCTCCAGGGGCCAGGAAAGTACCAGGTGCTAAATAAAAGTGGTGGTCTGAGGTTGGTGGTGTTAGGGAACCTCTCAAAGTAACCAGGAATCCAGAGCTGGAACTGAGCTGCCTCATTCACACAGGAGACCACATGCCTATCCGTGGGGTTAGGAGCCCCACATTGTCCTAGTGGAAAGAATACATGTCTCAACCTCCAATAAATTACCTTACGGGCTTTGGGGAAAATTAAATTATTAAAATAAAGTAAACCACCTTAAATACTTAAAAGTACAAAAAATTCAAATAAACAATCTAGGCAAGAAATATGTTTCTAGCCCTAGTCCTGGGCTGTGTCCTGGGACATTGGCCTCCTGGAGTTCTCCCTGGCCTGACTGACTACCTAGGAGTCTCTCAGTGGGAGTGTCTTTGCCCTCCACCAGCTGCAGGATGTGAACACAGTGGAGATATAGGGCCCCTCCCGGGTATAAGAGAGAGGTTCCAGAGATCAAGGCATAGCATGGAGGCATTTATCTGGGGACTAGGTCTTGAGATGGACCTTACCCACTTCTGTCTTCACGGAGCCTCCTGGGAAGGTTGGGCTTCCCAACTCACCTTGGCAAGGAAGGCAGTTCTTAATGGCTTCCCAACCTTAAGCCCTGCATGTTCCACTTGCCTCCCAGTTCTTGCTGTATCAGGAAAAGGACAGGGAGATCCAGGGCTCCAGGATTCCAAGCCTACTTGGCCCTGGCTACTGCCCTATCATACCCCCAAGAGTCCCAGCAACCCAAGCAGCAGGGCTGGGAGGAGCAGGTAGTGGAGGGAACAGGGCGACGGTGATATGCCCGGCACAACGCTGCCAGGAACCCCAAGCTGGACCTGTTCTTCTCAATGGTGTCTCCTCCCCAGCGAAGGGGTGTGTGGTCGGCAGAGACATCACTGTGGGCTCCTGTCCCGAGGAATGGCCAGGAGTGCCTCCCTTCTTGGGCTCTTCCAAGAAGTGGGTGTGGGTGGAGCCAGGGAACGGTCTCCTTCGGGACCCAAGGATCAGCCCTTGACGGAGCTCTCCAGGGAAGTTTCTAAGGCCCACTCTTGGTCACCCAGGCTTGGTCTTTCTCCGGCTCACTGCCATCCCCCAGAAGTCAGAGGACACCGGTCACTGGAGACCCTGCTTTACCTTGGTGTGAAAGCTCTTTTCTGGCAGTGGCATAGCTGCTGACCCTCCAGGGCGCAGCAAGGCTGAAGGCATGACTCTTCACAGCATCTCCAGGGACTGGGCTGCTTGATGTGGAAAGCATACTGCTCTGTCACTCGCTGGGGGGGACTGCCCTCTCCTCCACACCCCAACCAGACTCGGAAGGGTGCAGCCTGCACTTGGAAGGTGAATGGCGGATGGCAGAGCGGGATGGCCGGGCAAAGCAGGAGGCGAGAGACTGAGCACTGCAGTCACAAACAGCGTCCTAGAAGGAGGGAGGGAGGAAGTCAAGAGGAGCCCCAAGGCATTGACTGCCACCACCTGGCTGGCCAGCCAGGTAAGGATCTGAGACTCAGCCATACCCACCCACCACCAGTTTCCATGGGCCACAGCCCCTCTCAGGACCAATTTTCCTTTTTATCACTTTTCTCCCATTAGGGTAGTAATGGATGTTCATTCTGCAGTGGTTTGGAAGACACAGAAAAAAAGTGGACCTTGTCCAAAGTCCCACACATCAAAGATAAATTCTCAACATCATGCAAATACATACATTCACCAAAATGGCCTCTTCCTTTTTCATTTTTTGCAGTACTGGGGTTTGAACTCAGGGCCTACACCTTGAGCCACTCCATCAGCCCTTTTTTGTGATTTTTTCGAGATAGGGTCTCATGAACTATTTGCCCCGGCTGGCTTCAAACTGCATTTCTGCTGATCCTTTGCCTCCTGAGTAGCTAGGATTACAGGCCCATCAGTGCCTGGGTTTTTTTTTTTTTTTTTCTACAGTGTTGGGAATAGAACCCATGGCCTCCCACCTGCCAGCAAGCACTCTAGCCCCATTACTATATTCTCAGCTTTGTACTGTTGTTTCCTGATGTGCTGCTGGTCTCATGGAGGTGATGGTTCATTTATGTGTCAATGTGTCTATAGCCACAGGGAGCCCAGACATCAGGTTGAATATTATTCTGGGCAATTTCTGTGAGGGTGTTTTGGATAAGACTAACATTTAAATTGGTAGACTAAGGCTTCATCCAATCAGATGAAGGGTTAAGTAGAACAAAAAGTGAAATCTTCATGCCTTTAGAGTGGGATACTGGATTTTTTCCTGCCTGTACACTTAAATTGAAACATGGGTACTTTCTGTGTCACAGGCTGCCAGTTTTTAGACTGGACTAAACCATTAACCCCAGTCCCACAAAAAAAAAAATTATAGTCAACTCAAACTTAATGAAATAATCTGAAATGTACAGAAATGTTTTTGCATCAAGCTGCTCGCCACAGCACTATTAACCATAGAAATGAGAAACTGCCTATGTAAACATAAAGTAATAGGGAAGCAGACCTTTGGAGTCAATCTCAATCCATCCCTCACACAGCCCTCCTCACTTCCCTGTGCCCCCAACCTACAGCCCTTGCTGAGTCCACAGCAGACCACAGGGACTCCCCCTGGCCACAGCTGACTAGACTAAGGGGGTACAATTCACCTAAGCTGAACCAATCAGAATTTCTTTCTCTCTCCCAAAAATATGGGATCAAGACAGGGATTTGAGTCAGTGTTTCTTAAGTTCTTGAACTGAAGAGGTTATAGAACCAGAGCTGGAGCCCACGCACAGTAGAACCTGTTAATCCCAGCTTCTCAGGAGGCAGAGATTAGGAGGATCATGATTTGAGGTCATCTTGGTGAAAATGTTTGAGAGATTCATTTCAAGCAATGGTGGGGCACGGTCACTCCAGCTACACGGAGAAGCTCAAGGACTAGGATTGTGGTCCAGGCCTGCCCAGTCATAAAGTGAGATCCTATCTCAAAAACAACCAATGCAAAAAGGGCTGGGAGCATCAGGGGTCAGTGGCTCATGTCCGTAATCCTAGCTACTTAAGGAGGCTGAGATCAGGAGGATCAAGGTTTGAAGCCAGCCCGGGCAAATAGTTCATGAGACCTCATCTCCAAAAATAACCAGAGCAAAAGGGACTGGAGGTATGGTTCAAGTGGTATAGCACCTGCTTTGCAAGTATAAAGCCCTGAGTTCAAACCTCAATTTCCCCACAAAAAAAAAAAAAAAAAAGGCTCAAGTGGTAGAGCACCTGCCTAGCAAGTAGGAGGCCCTGAGGTCAACCCCAGTACCACCAAATGAAAGAAAGAGAGGAAGGAAGGAAGGAGCGAAGGGAGGGAGGGAGGAAGAGAGGGAGAGAAGGAAGAAAGGAAGAAAACCAGAGCTGGAACAGCCCACCTGGGCTTTATGGAAATGCAACAGAAAGACTGAGAAGGAGGACGAGGACACAAGAAAAAATAAAACTCAAGAGAAAGGAGACAGGGAGAATCTGCCAAAGCCTGGACTCTGCTCTTGGGTTCCATAAACTGCTCCATCAACCTTGAGACCTTTTTTCCCCTTCTGCAATGCTAACTTACATGCATTTCTTTAATAACATTCAAATAATTTCTACCTCATCAGAATTGCTACCAGGAGTGGGGTTTGCAGCAAACAGTCACTGAAACAATGTGAGCACATGGGTGAGAAGCCTTGCTGGGGTGGGGGACGTGGCAGGCTGGTTTATGTTTAATTTCCAGCTTTCTAGCAGTGAGGGGGAGGAGCCCTGATTGTAGTTTTGCTAATTTTTCTGGTGTCAAGCCTCCTGAATGTACCAAGGCGATATTACTAAATACAGAATGTATATGACTGGCTCTCACGGCCCAGTGAGATGCTCAGCTTGTTACCAACGAGGGCAAGAGAGCAGCAGGCATGCCCCTCCCCTGAAGCAGGTGCTGGTGATCATGCAGTGTTCTGAGAAAGCAGCCAATTAAGCCACACTCACTGTTCTATGGCACTCATACTATCTAACCACCAAGTGTATGTTGTTCCAGGTCTGGGACTTCCAGCCCCATACCAGACCTCCATTAAAAACTTTGGAGACACATGGCTGTATTCCTCAAGTTTAACCACCAAGAGTTTGAACCTAAATCCAGGCATGGTGGCTCGTGCCTATAATCCCAGCTGAGGCCATCCCAGGCAAAAACGTGAGATCCTATCTGAAAAATAATTCAAGCAAAAAAGATCTGGTGGCATGCATGGCTCAGGTGGCAAAGCACCTGCCTAGGAAGTGCAAAGCCTTGAGTTCAAACCCTAATACCACGAAAAAAAAAGGAAGAAAGAAAAGAGCTGAATCTTTTTAAGCCAATCCCCCTCACAAGGAAAAGGGCAAAGTCCACCCACTACCTCATTGGGAAGGACAGAGGCTCCGTCTCCATCCCGAAGGACACCATCCTTCCCCACCTGGAGAGCGATGGTGGGTCTGGCCTCCTCGCTGCAGCCTGACTTGGCTGCCTTCTTGTTCAGGATCCTGATCACGCCCTCTGGCTGATGGTAGCTGGCAGGTGAGAGGGGCTCTGGCTTCTTAGAGCTCTCCTCTCCCACCACCGAGGTAGGGCTTGGTGCCCGGCCACACACATTACGGAAGAACTCCTGCACGAGGCCATACTTAGGAGGCTCGGGCTTGACCCGGGCCTCAGACATGCCCAGTTTCCAGACAGACTCAGTGCTCCCTGAATGCTCCACCACACTGAAGAGGCTGGACAGCCCATCGTTGATGTTCCTCAGCACGGGGCTGTCCCGTGTGGTGGTAGAACGGGCCCACGCTGAGCCATTCTGCTTGCCCTGGTGCAGGTTCCACAGGCTGCGGTCCTTGGTGTTATCCAGCTTAGACACGGATCGCCTCTGCAGCTTTGGTGAGCCGTACTTCGGGGAGCAGCAGGGCCGTTCGATGCGCGAGTGGACCTTGTCCAGGGAGGAGGAGATCTGCTTGCTGCGCACGGACACAAGCGAGGAGCTGCGGGGTGACCAGCTCTTGCCGTGGAGGCTGCTGCGTGGTGGGTCAGTCTGCAGGCCCACACTGACCGTGCGGATGGTCTGCGTCCCCACGCTGGCCAGGCCCACCGTCTGGCTGGATGTACTCTTCACTTTCCTCTCCAGCGAGCCCGAGCGCATGGCCTGTCGCACACAATTGGTGATCTCCTTCATGTCATCGCTCATGTTGCCTGACATCTCAAAGTCATGCAGGGCCGCTGGAAAGGCAGGCCCAGCCGCAGATGGGCTGCCCCCAGAGCCTCCATCCAGGCGCTGCCGGGAGAAATTGCAGAGCCACCGGCCATAGGCGCTGTCAGCCAGCCCATCGGCCTCAGTTGACTCTTTGGGTTTGGCTGTGGTGAAGAGAAAGCCAGGTTCAATGAGGACCTTGCCCTCCTTGTCATGGACCACAGGGACACCCAGGCGTCGGGCCACTGGGGGGCTGTAGTAGACGCGGATGCCTGTCTTGTCCGGAGCTGTATAGCTGCGTTGCATCTGCTTCCCTGCAGGGTCCTGGCAGGCCAGGGAGCCCAGGCGGCTGCAGCCCCGTGGTAGGAGCCCAGGCTTTTCCTTGGTGTCTTTTTCTGGCTCCACCGGCTCGCTACCAACGAAAGTAAAGGCAGGGCTGTTGGGCAGCTTCTTGCCCCGGGCATCTCCACCAGCAAGGTAAGGGGAACAGTCCAGCAAGCTTTCGAACTCAGACATGGAGGAAACAGACTTGGTCCTGAGAAGAGCAGAGGAGGAAAAGAAAGATTCATGGAAGACTGCATACACCAAGCACACACTCTGGTCTACTTCTGGAGCCTATTTGCTTGGACCAGGCCGGCCTTGTTCACTTCTAGTAGATAACATTTTGGTGCCTTCCCCACCCCCTCTCCACACTCCCACCTACACACTAAACTGCAGGCTCCCAACACCTGCTGTTCACTACCTGACAGCTATGAGGTTGTACTTGACCTCTAGACAGAGACTACAAACAGCACAGGGAGTAGCTCCTAAACAAAACCTCCAACAATCAATGGCAGGATTTGGCAAACACCCCAGCCTCCTTGTCCCTCTGATAGGGTGACTCTGAGTGGCACATTTTCTCCTGCATCCCAGAATTCCTCAATAAGCCTGAGCTGCAGTTGCCCACAAAGTCACCTGATTGTAACTCCCTTGACTATCTGCTTTGCCTTCTGTGTCTCACTTTCAGATATTTCCTGTAATCCTCTCCCAAATAAACCATTGACCCATAAGTCCTTGTCTCAGGGCTTGTTTCTGGGGGAACCCAAACTTAAATGTCATGAAATCTAGCACAGAGCCAGGCATGGTGGTCCATGTATGTAATTCCAGCACTCAGGAGTCTGAGGCAGGAAAACTGCCAGTTCAAGGCCAGCCTGGGCTATAGAGTGAGACCCTGCCAATAAATAAATAAATACATAAATAATCCAGCACAGACGGGGTGCATATCGTCTGAAGGAGTTAAGGCAGGTAGGTGGGAGTTTGCACATGCCAGTCACTCCAACAGCTCTAGAGGGCAGCTTCTATTATCCAGCTAGAGAGGGGGGAGCCCAAGGTCATAGCTCTAGAAATGGCACAGGTGGAATTGGAACAGGGCCCCTTAGCTTCAGTGTTGACTCCCACCGCAGTCCCCCTTGCTTCTGGGTTACTCCCATGGGATTCGGTTTCCCTCCCTCCTTTTCTAGGTTTCCTGAAGGCGACATGCACAGGGCTGGGCTCAATGGGTGTTGCTCAATAACTCCAGGAATGGGTGTCCATGACGACGATCCTGACTCTAGAGACAGGAGAAAAAAGTACCAAAAGAGGCTACCAGTTTCCTTGCCAGTGAGGATACGAGGCTAATCTGGGGGCCCAAGTTTCCATGTCCAGCGTCAAATCAAGAAACGTTAAGTTGAAGGGTGGGATCCCTATTGCCCCAGGCTTTCCAGCTCCTGAGAGACTCACAGAAACCACATCTGGGTGCTCTCCCAACTCTGATGAGGGGCAGGGAGACAAGACAGGCAAAGGGGCGGGGCCGGGTCATGGGCGGGGCTGTGGGCGGGGCACCTCTTTAAGCCAGTTCCCCCAAGTTCGGCTTCAGACCCAGCCTCCTTGTCGTGGATCTTCTCGCTGCGCGTCTGTGGAAGAGGAGACAGGAAGGGTCAGTTCTGGCCATCAGGGCACCAAAGGAAAGTGACATCAGGGCAGTGTGGTGGGGGAGCCCGGCCCCCCAATCCTGAGTCTCCTCCATTGGAGAGCAGGATGACGTCAGCAACAGCTAGAACGCCCACTGGTCAGTTTCTGGACCCACTGCTTCTAACACCCGAGCACAATAGGAAAGTGATACAGGCTGGGCCAACTGGAGCGGCTACAGTGACTCCAAGGAAAAGACAGTCCATTTAGAACTTACTCCACGTGTGGTGGCAGTAACGAAGCACCCCATGGCCAGCTGCTCAGTTGTGGTGACAGCAGTGACCATGCAGCTCCTGCTCTGGGCTTGTCCCACCTTGGTTCTAGAGGCCCAGCCCCCAGGATGTCCATAGCTATCAGAACTGCATCACCAGCCCTGTGAGCACCCAATAAAATCCTCCAGCCTCAGTTCCCCAGGATTGGTGTTTGCTGTTTGCAACTTGGTCTCCTGAATGACACACCGCTTTCCCAGGCTGCCATGGTGATGAAACACTGGGCGTGAAGGGCCTGGGCACGACACAGTTATCCAGCAAGTTGCTGTAAAGACAGTGTGAACCGTGCATGCAAACTTACACCCAAGGCTCTGCCTGGGCAGAATGTTGATTCTCGTTCACCAATGAGGCAAATGGCGCCCAAAGAAAGGGAGTGACTCATCCGTAGTCACACAGCTTTGTAGAGGCCCTGATATCCAAGAGAGGCCTGGGGTTTCTTCCTGGCATGAAAGGATGGCCCTAGCAGAAGCCCCTTCCCGAATCTCAAACCATGGGTAGGAGCCATGGGGTAGTGCCCCCAGAGAAGCCTAGGGTGCAGGAGTGTGCCTGTGGGACCCTGTCATGTCCCCGCAGTAGGGAACTTTCAGCCTACCCAGGAGTCAAGAGAACATGGTGGCAGTGACATTCTCACCTCTTTCCAGCTGTTGTCCTGCTTCTCCAGGTCTGCGTGTTTCAGGACCCAGGGCTCAGCAGCCTTCTGAAGCTGAGTGAGGGAAAGACAGTGCATCAGTGATGGACACAGCTGGTGGGCGAGGACAGCTCTGAGCAGGGCCTCTCGCAGGCTCCACTCTGCAGTCTGGAGGACCCTCATCATGGACCAGGCTTCTTAGCAGGTAGCAGCTTTGAGCCACCCACAAGGTGGACTTGGAAAATGATAATACAAGCAACTATTTGCAGACATCCTAGGAATGTCATTGCATCTGACACAGTAACAAGTCACACACAGCTAGACCAACCAGGCAGCAGCTATATCACCTCATGGCAGCAAACCTGAAACCTAGGGACCCCAATTATCAAGATTCCTTCCTGTTGAGCCCTGAGGTGCCCTCTGTTTCCTGCCCCTCCTGGAGCTCTATTACCTCCAGGTGGCATGTGAGGAAACCCACTGCTACATATGTATTAGGTGTTTTTGTTTTTTTGTTTTTTGTAGTTTCTGGAGTTTGAACTCAGGACCTCAAGCTCGCTAGGCAGAAACTCTACCACTATGGCACACACACCAGCCTTTTTTTTTTTTTTTTTCCTTTTAGTTTGTTTTTTAGGTAGGGTCTTTCACTTTTTGTTCTTTGAAGTTTTAGCAAAGACTTATTTTAGTATAAGAACATAAAAGTAGGGAGAAGTGGGAGGTAAATGGGAGAAACATTTCCTGTTCCTGATGTAGGAAATGGAGAAAAGACTTTCGCTTTCGACCAGGCTGGCCTCAGACTTGACTATCCGGGACCACAAACATGTACCACCATGCTCAGCCTAGGGCACTATGTTAGAAAGGGAAAAGTGGAAACAATTCAGATTTTGTCAACATGGAATCATAACTGTGGAGACCCCATACTAGGAAGGGCAGCATCAGCTGAACTGAATGAGGCTCCCACAAAAGAGGCAAAGTATAAATAACACATACATTATGATTTAATCAATGATAAAAACCAACCAAACAAAACATGGTGGGAGAAAGGGAGGGAGCTGGCTAGAATATGCTTTTGTAATACTTGAGTCTTATATAAGATGAAGCCCTGACTGCTGGCATGAACATAGAAATAAAAGAAGGGTGGGTGCATGATGGGAACTGTAGAGGGGGCAATGGTTAATGACAGCTTTTCATTCCCACCCCACCCCCTGCCCACACACACACACACACACACTTAGTCAGAGGACTCCCATGGGAATCACTCTTGGCTCCTGAGTTTTAGTAGGCCCAAGGATTGAGCACATGACTCATACTTGGCCAATCAGAACCTTGTGGAAATGGTACTCTTCCCCTTGTAATTGCCAAACTATAAAATATGAGCATGAAACTAACCATGGCCATATTTTGGAGATCAGTTGCTTAAAGATTAAAGCTAATACAGAAAAAAACGGGCTGGAGAGATTGAGACAGAAAGACCTCGTTCTGACTGCAATCTCTGAGCTCCCGGATCCAGCTATACCTGCAGGAGACACTACTTCTAGACATTTTCCCTGTAGTTAAACAAGCACAGGCTGGAGCCGGGCTCACCTGGCTGAGGCGGTTCTGGAGATCCTTCACCTGCTGCTCCACTCGCTGCTTCTCACCCTGAAGCCGCTCCAGAAGCTGCAGCTTCTCCTGGCTCCAGTTGCGCTCGCTGACCTGCAGCTGGCGCGTCAGCTCCATGACTGCACTGTAGGACTCAGCCAGGAGGTGCTGCTGCTCCTCCCGCTCCCTCTGCAGGGCACCCTTCCCAGCCTTCAGCTCTATCTGCAAAAAGAAGCGCCCTGGGCAGCCCCAGCACTCTGCGCTGCACAGAACCAGCTGGGCACCAGCAGGATAACACACACACAGGTGCACCTGCAGTCACATCACACATGGGCACAGAATCACTACAGCATAATGGTTTTCCTGAGCCAGGCCTTGGAGTGGCAGGGAGGAGACATTCAATGCCAGGTCTGCCGCTTATGGACTGGTGACACTGGAGAAAGATTGAACTGCTCTGTGCTTGCTTTGTCATCTGTCCAGTGGAGATCACTGAGTACAACTACCCAGGGCCAGTGATGCCCAGAAGGCAACCTGAGGCAAAGGAGGGCCAGAAGAGCCATGGATTCAGAGCCTTCCTGAACTAGGTGACGACTTTCTCATTTTTCAGACCAGAGTGGGGCAGCAACTGCTCCCAGGTACACAGCACACACCAAGCTCCCAGAGATCCTGGTTAAGGTCTCTTCAGTCAGATGGATTTGAGTAGGGGAGAAGAACAGAGCCAGGCAGCAGGAGCTGGGGGGCTCCTATGAGGACAGGAAGGAACAAATGGGGACAGCAAATCATGGGAGTTCAGACATATGGGACAGGTGCATGAGCAGGCCTGGAAGCATTCCAGCCTCACCTATGAGCCCACAGTGTAGGAGAAGTACCTGCCCAGCCTCCACTTCTTGCAATGTCCACTGTCTCCTGCTCCCCACTGTCTCTGAAGATCTTGCTATGTTATTCTAGACAAGTCTCTTCCCTTCTCTGGGCCACAGGTGAAGTGACATGGTTCCTAAGCCTCCAGGAGCAAGGCTTGGGCACCCTGCACTCAGAGCTACTGCTAAGGGCTTGGGAGAACAAGGAGGACAATGTCTCTGCCAGATAGGGACTCACCTGGGCAGCATGGCTCTTGAGCTCAGCCCGCTCAGTCTCCCAGGTGGCCTTGGCCTTGGCAAACTGCTGCTGAAGCTCGGTCAGACCTCGGCGCTCGTCCCGGAGCAGCCAGCACAGCTCCTTCAGCGTCACCTTCATGTCAGCCAGCGTCTTGATGTCCTCACTGGGCTGTAGATGGGGCAAGGCCTGGGTCAGGGGCTTCACCAGGGAGAACAGCTGGGACCCTGCCCTGTCCTGGCTGCCTCTTAGGCTGGCCCAAGTGCCAGCCTCACATTAAACCAGGACTCCTACCATTGCAGCAATATCTGTTCTCCCAGGATCCAGCTGAATAATACAGGCCACAGGTCTCCCTCCTTGCTCAGGACCTGCCTCTGCCCCAGCCAGGCCTCCATGGAGCCGCACTAACTGCTCCATTCCAGCTCCTGTCTCTTGACCCCACTGACCTCTGGCACGACTTGAGTTCTTTTTTTTTTACTTTTTTTTAAATTAAAATATATTCATTGTATTCCTCCATTCACCCTGATTTGAGTTCTTAATCCAGACCATAGAGGCCCCTCTTCCTATGACCCTAGCTTGATGGAATTACGCCCCTATGCACATCCCAATCCACAGGCAGTCCCAGAATGCCTTGCCACATTTTGTTTTTTGTTTTTTGTTTTTTTTTTTTGTGATGGTACTGGGGTTTAACTCAGGGCCACACACTTGCTAGACAGGCACGCTACCACTTGAGTCACTCTGCCAGCCCCCTTGCACTTCTGCACACACAGTCCTCTAGGTCTATTTTCTATACTCTATTATCGAGCTCCTATTCATCCTTCAAAACCTCTATGATACTGACCCCTATCCTCTAAATAGAATTATTTTTCAGTGCTGGGGATGGAACCCAGGATCTTGAACATACAGTCCAGGCAAGCATTCTATCACTGAGCTACATCCCCAGCCTCTTTTTGTTGTTGTTTTGTTTATTTCAAGGTACTGAACTCAGGCCCTTGCACTTGCTAGGCAGATGCTTTACTACTTGAGCCACACCCCCAAGCCCTTTATTTTTCAGATAAAGTATCATGTTTTTACCTAGGCTCAACCTTGGACTGTTATCCTTTTGCTATGCCTCCCTTGTAGCTGGGATTGCAGGTGAGCACCACTATCCAGCTTATTGGAGATGGGGGTCTCATTAACTTTTGCCTGACCTGACCTCAAACCTTAATCCTCACAATCTCTGCCTCCCAAGTTCCTGGATTTATAGGTATGAGCCACCATGCCCAGCTTCAAATAGAATTAACTGCTCTCCTGCCTATGACCTCACAGTTCATCTGTCACTTCTGGCATTTTGTCCATGTCCTGAAATAACTTATGTACCTCATAGCACTGAGCAACTGGGGGCCAGTGACCAGGCAGTAATCTTCTGCAGGCCCAGTGCCCAGTGCAGATCTGGCATTAGAAGGCAACAGGAAGTGATCACAGATTGATGGAGGGAATGGGTAAGGCAGGACCAGGGAAGGGTGGGGTCGCACCGTGTTCTGGGTCCAGCTGTCCCCCGTGCAGGCCTTGTTATCTGGATGCTGGGCATTTATCTCCTCTTCCTCCATAAGCAGATACAGTTCCTTCATGCTGTTTACCTGTGTTTAAAAACCACACTCAACAGGGGGTGGAAGATGTCACACATGGGGCTCAGCTGTCAGGAAGAGGGGACACTGGCTAGTAGCCCTGAACAGCTATGGACGAAGGAAGAGGGGAGGAGTTCATAGCCAGCACGACTTCCCAGATCTTAACTTCAACTCCTGGGCACTGTCTGGGCTGAGAAGCACAACTGGAAGTCCCTTTTCTGCCCCCAAGGACCAGGAGGTATTCCTGAGAGTCACCCACAAGTAACCATGGTGACAGCCTGGGCCAGGTTAGCACTGTGGTTGGAACAAAGAGGCCAAAGAACCCACTGTGGTGGTGGGGAATGGTGACTGGAGGTTTGGTGGTTGGAAGTGACCCTTCCTGGGAGGGAGGATATGTTGCTGATGGATTCTGGGCTGGAGTCCAGCCCCTCCCAAGAGATGAGGATGGGAGTGAAGAAGACAGAAGCCACCTGACTGCAGTGCTGATCCATCATTTGTTCATTCATCACTCACTCACTCATTTGTCCACTCAACAATGATTCCTTGAACACCTATCACCTACCCTGTGCTAGGAGCTGGAGACACATCAGTGAGCAGGACAGACAAAAACCCTGGCCCCAGACCTTGTATATTCCAGTAGAAGGAAAACAGACAAATAAGTGAAAGGTATGAAGTGTTGTTAGATAGATAGAATGTCACATAGTGGCAGGAGGAAAGGAGACAGGAAAGAAGTGAGGATGTGTTACATGTGAGCGATCAACAGAGGTGGACAGAGAAGGTGACACTTGGGCAAAGTCCTGAAGGAGATAAGTAAGTGAGTCATGGGAACACCTGGAAGAGAACTCCTGGGAGAGGAAACAGCACATGCAAAGGCCCTGAAGGGGCAGAATGGCTGTCTGAGGAATAGCAAGAAAGTCAGGGAGGAAGTGAGAGAGGTATGAGTAATTAGGGACTTGGCTTTGATGCTGGGGAAAATGAGAAACATGGGAGAACTGTGAGCCAAGGAGTGACACCAAGCTGACTTTCAGTTTCAACAGCTCACTTGGGCTGCTGTGTGGAGACACACTAGGGGGTGGCAGTCCAGCCCATACTGAATAACTGCAGGGCGTGTCCACACAGAACAGGAGCTACATACTGCCCCTGGTGCCCTTCTGAATACAAGATGCCTTGTGGGAAGGCGAGGGTGTGGGCAAGGAGATCAGGCACTGCCAAAGGAAAACCAGGTGAGGTCAGGGAGATAAGGAACAGGGAGGTGGAAGGAAAACCAAGAGCATGGTGTCCTAGAAACCAAAGGGAGAAGAGGTCCAGATGTCACACATCCAGGAAAGGAAGCATGTGGTGAGCGGGTCTGCAGGAATCAACACCCTAATCCCAACACTGGTCACAATGACCCTTACGAAGTCTCTTGATCTGTACATAGACAGGTATGCAATTCCTCCTCTGAAATCCTTGGGCCCTAGCATTTGTTTGTTTGCTTTTTGATGCTAGTGATAGCCCCAGCACATGCTAGGCACCCATCTACCACTAGGCCATCCCCTGCCCCAGACATGTTTGTGATTCAGGACTTAGAAAGAACATGGTACACACAATGAGGACATCAAATAGCCCCAGCAGGGTCTGAAGGAACATCCCAAGCTCACACCAGAACTACCCTACAAACATGCCAATAGTAGCATGAAGTGTTGTGTCCCTCTCAGTCCCCCAGTCCTGAACCCAGACCCAAGCTTACCTCCAGGAAGTCATCCCCCTCACTGGGCAAGACTTTGCCCTGCCGCCAGCGCTTCAGGAACCACCTGAGCTTCATGAAGAGCAGCAGGAAGTTATGCTTGAACTGCTGGGACTCCTGCACCAGCGTGTTCTTCTCCTGGCTCCAGAACTTCTGCTCCAGCCTTCTCTGCAGGCTCAGACTCTGCAGCTCGAACTCCCGCCTCAGCAGTGCCCTCTGCTGGTCCTCCTTCAGCTGTGGGGATGCCAGTTTGAGCCAGGCCAGCTCAGTATTCCCTTCTCTTCACTCATTCCAGGCCAAGATAATTCCATTTCCCCAGGGCAGGGGGGAAAACTGGGAAGTGCCTGCTGGTGATTACTTCCAGGACTCCACCACTAGCAGCCCATTCTATCAGGGAAGAGGAACTCACAAAAGCAGCAGGTGCCACAGTCATGAATCAGTGAAGGAGATAGGATTTGAACCCAGCTCTGTGTGGGATTTGAACTCAGCTCTGTCTGACTAAAAACACTACATACTGAGCACTAGATACTTTCCATGAACTCATGCTGAATGAGGGACCTGTGAGGATGAGTGATGGTGGTGGTTGGGGGGGAGGTGTTTGACCCACAGGGAGAGCAAAAGCAGGCTGGGCTCATGGAAGGCTCTGGTGAATACCCAATATCCTAGGAAGCAGCTTGGATCATGGCTAAGAGAGCCAGAGACCTGCACTGTGCAGCCCTGAGTCCAGAACTCCAGCTCTTTGGGCCTCGAATTCCCCATCTGTAAAATGAAGATAGCCTTAAGGAAAGTGTGGAAAGTGTGTTACACAGGCCTGGTATACAGTAAGGTTTAATAAATGCTATCACAGAACTATCAGATGGATGCCAGACAGGCCTGATGGGGGCACCATGTCAGAGATGGGAAACTGAGGCCCTAGGAGGAAACAGAATGGATCCAAGGCCAAGCAAGTGGCCAATGGCAAAGTCCAGGACTCCAGCCCAGTAGAGCTGATGAGTGGTACAGGGTAGAAGGGCTAGAAGACTTGGGTTTCCTCAGACACTCACCTTCTAGGAACTAGGGATCCTGCTTTCAGGTGTTTGGTTTGCTTGTTTTTGTGGGGCTGGGATGGAATCGAGGGCCTCTCACATGCTGGGCAAGAACTCTACCTCTGAGATACACCCCTAACCCTCTGTCTTCAGTTCTGGGAGAAGTTGGAGTAGGTGCAGGACGCCTCAGCATCACTCACCTGGACCATTTTCTGGTTGAAGTTGTCGGCCTCCTCCTTGCGCAGCTGCCGCTCCTGTGACAGCTGCTCTTGCAGGCCCCGGAGGCTGTCATGGGCCTCGGCCAGCACCAATTGCAGCTCCTTGATCTGTGGTGGGCACAGGGGACAGACAAGGAGAGGGGGATCCAAGGGTGGACATGATAGAGGATCAACAGTAAGCTGGACCCAAATGTCCCTCAAGTACAAAATCAGCCAGAATGGCTGGCCCTGCCTCAGTGAGCTGTTGTGTGGATTAAATAAAACAGTATAAATCAAATCTAACTACTGTTTTGATTTCAACATAATTTCTCTCTGAAATTCATATGAAAAAAGTTATTATGAAAATTAAGTATTTTTTTAAACCCCATTCCATGTCTCATCACTCACAATTCAGACCAGGCATAGGGCCTAGGCTGAGGTGTATATAGGGTAGGTTTACTTTGCCTCCTCTTTCTATATAGTCAATACAAAAACACAGCCTGTGGTAAGTACCAAGAGGCAGAAAATTATGTTTGATTCACAAAAATGTTCATAGTCTCATTGCTTATTTTTTATTTGCTTTTTTTTTTAGTGGGACTGAGTTTGAACTCAGGGCCTCAGGCTTGAAAGCAGGTACTCTACCACTTGAACAACTCTACCAGCCCTTTTTTGTGTTGGGTATTTTCAGACAGAGTCTCAGGAAGTATTTGCCCTGGCTGGCTTCGAATCATGATCCTCCTGATCTCTGTCTCCTGAGGAGCTAGGATCACAGGTGTGAGCCACTGGCACCCGGCTGTTTAATTAATTTTTAAGAAGGGTTTCTCTTTGTGGTCTAAGCCTTGAAATCCTGGGCTCAAGCGATCCTCTTGCTTCAGCCTCCCTCCCATGCAGGTGGAAATACAGGTGCATGCCACCACACCCAGCTGTCTCCTTGTTTATAATTGCAAAAATTTAGAAACAATTTAAATGATAAATAATGGGGTTAAAACATGTGTTTAATGGGCCCATATATGTAAAAGTCCACCCAACTGTATAATTAAGGGTACTGTCCTTTGTCATATGTATATCATTATGTAATAAACTAAGTGTAAACAGTGGTTAACTATGTGATCATCTTGGGATCTTGACTTTCTTCTTTATATCTTTATGCAATGTTGATTAGAGATTTTGTTGTAGTTATTTGTTGCTTACAATGACTATGTAATCAGATCAAAAGAAAAAGATAGCCTGGGGTGGTGGTACATGCCTATAATTCAAGCTACTTGGCAGGAGGTGGGCAGGCCAGGCAAAGTTATTGAGACCCAACATCAACACCAAAATGCCCTCCCCACAAAGGCCTGGAAGTGTGGCTCAAGTGGCAGAGTAGGTCCTAAGATCAATCCCCACTACTGCAAAATAATAATAATAATAATAATAAAATTCTACATTTTCTGGGGAAATGGTGTTTAAAAGTATTTATAGCTAAATAAGCAAAATTAATCTGTTTTTTTGAAAGTCCAGATGGTGACTAGAAGGGAACACAGGGGACTCTAGGGGTATCATGCTCTCTGTTTATTGGAGGTGCTTAATTACATCACAGGAGTGGCCAGTTGGTAAAAAGCCATAAACACTTTTTTCTTCTGTTTTTGCAGAGCTGGGACTTGAACCCAGGGTCTCATGCATGCTAGGAAAGTACTCTATCACTGAGCCACATCCCAGGCCCATGACCTTGTCTGTTTGTGTGGTATACATCAGTAAAATAACTTTAGCCAGCCAATATGCGGGTGGGACAGCAGAAGACAAAGGATCAAAAGTTCAAGGCCAACCCTGGCAAAGTTAGTGAGCCCTTATCTCAAACAAAAAAATAAAACAAACAAACAAAAAGTGCTGGGGGATGTGGCTCAAGTGGTAGAGCACTTGCCTAGCAAGCTCAAAGCCCTGGGTTCAATCTCCAGTACCCAAACCCCCTCCCCCAAAAAAAGAAAGACAGCTGGGCATACTGGGAGGATCACTTGAGCACTCAAGTTCAAGACTAGCTTGGGCAATACAGTGAGACCCCACTCAAAAAACAGATTAAGGCTGGTGGAGGGGCTCAAGTGGTGAAGCACCTGCCGAGCAAGTGCAAGGCCCTGAGTTCAAACCCCAGTGCCACCCACACACAAAGTTTATATTTATGCTGCTGTATTAAGCAGAAAAGCAAAAACAACCAAAAGGAAATGCCAGTCCCAGGCATAGCAGATATCCCTCTTGAAAGAAATCAGTCATTATGTGACCAATAAAGTGACACTTTTTTTTTTTTTTTTTTGCAGTACTGGGGCTTGAACTCAGGGCCTTCACCTTGAGCCACTCTACCAGCCCTTTTTTGTGAAGGGTTTTTCATGATAAGGTCTCAGGAACTATTTCCCCAGGCTGGCTTCAAACGGCAATTCTCCTGATCTCTGCCTCCTAAGTAGCTAGGATTACAGGCGTGAGCCTGGTGCCCAGCTAAAGTGATACTTTGTGGGAGGCTCACTGATTTAAGGTAGGTCTTATACACTTGTTTTGTATCAGAAGCTTTGCTCTCTCTCCTATCCTTGAACTCAGTGTTCCACCCAATGCTTCAGTTATAACTGCTCAATAAAGAGTAGCCAAAGGAAACAATGAACTGCATCCAGGAAGTAATCTTCTCTATAAGTAAAAGAAACAGGCTTTGTCCCTTTTCTTAGAAAATCATTACTAAGTGTCTCATTTTTTCCCCTTTTTTTTCCTTTTCAGTGCAAAGAATCAAACCTAGAGCCTTGTGCATGCTAGGCAAGTGGTCTACCACTGAACTCCATCTCCAACCTTTCTTTTTTCTGGGGTGCTGGAGACTGAATTCAAGGCTTACACATGTTAAACACACTCTCTACCACTGAGCTACATCCCAGCTCCCTTTTTCCCCCCTTTTATACCCTGGCTAATAGGAAGCTCAAACCACCTCACTTAGAGAGTCTGATCCTTCTGTTTGAAGGGGGCTTCTGAAAAAGTTGTTCTCAGGAACACTCACAAGCCAGAACACAGGCTGGGCACACACTAGAGTTCCCACACGAGGTGTCTCAGTGATACCTGGCCCCATCCACATGAGCCTTTTCCCGCTTCAGGTTCACGATCAAGTGCTGAAGAGCTTATGAGTAGTCTTGGAAGGGGCTCCAACAGGAATTCCTAAAGGATCAGAGAATCCTAGCAAGTCTAACCCTACTATCTTATATAGAGGGAAAACTGGGCCCAGCAGTGGGAATGCCACTATGGTCACACAGCCACACTGGGAGCCACACTGGCAGAAAAGATCCTTGTACTGGGGTTTCTTAAATCTAAGTGATATGTCTTCATCCTCATTCTCACTAATGGACCAAACTGAAGCTAAGACTTTCACCAGCCCTGTGAGGGGACTGGAACTCTCCATCCTCCTGTCTCAGCCTCTCAAGTGTTAGGATTACAGGAGTGCGCCATCACACCAGGCCAGGGCCTTCATTTTATAGGTGAGAAAGCTGAGACTCAAGGAGGTGAAGTGACTCATTCAAGATCTCACAGCCAGTATTACAAAGTGAGTCTACAATTGAACCCAGACAGCCTGACCATGGAGCCCCCTTGCTACATAAATTAGTATTCCGTGAAATGACATAAATTATTGAATTCCCTATGGAATTTAGTACAGATAAAAGAAATCAACTTCCTTTGATTAAGCCAAACTTCCTTATTTTCCTTTTTGCCCTGGCTACCAGGAAACTTGGAATCAAATAGAATGCTCAAAAACCGTATCATTGCCAGATGCCGGTGGCTCACGCCTGTAATCCTAGCAACTCAGGAGGCAGAGATCAGGAGGATTGTGGTTCAAAGCCAGCCCAGGCAAATAGTTCCTGAGACCCTATCTTGAAAACCCTTCACAAAAATAGGGCTGATGGAGTGGCTCAAGGTGAAGGCCCTGAGTTCAAGCCCCAGGACCATTAAAACAAAACAGAACAAAACATATCATCACCCTCCGTGGATCACGTTGCTTTTCGGGGGGATACAGCTACTCTCCTCCTACCCCACCTCCTGAGTGCTAGACCTACCTCAGAGGCATAGGAATCATTGTCTTCAGCTCGGTAAGACCTGAAGCTCCTACCGGGATCAGGCTTGGAGTCCAAGTCACCAGTGCGAAAGGCCTCTCGGATCCTGGGCTCCCATTCCGGCAGGTCCCTAAAGTCAGACGGCTATACCGAGACGCACAGGCAGAAGAGAATAAACAAAACTATGGGGAGATGCCCACGGGATGCCAGAAGCAGCCTCTGGGCTCCAAAAGAGGCTTTGACCACCTACATGGGGGCGTTACCCAGGTGGATTCACCTCTGCAGCCTAGACTCAGACTTGATTGGGAGTACCACTCAATAAACATTTATTGAAAAGATGAATGATAAGTAAGTGTGTGAAAACACTCATTTGTGCATGTCTGTCCTGTGTACAGCCTGCTGAGACAGCCCTACCACCTGTGTGGTCTCACCTCAAGAAGAACTAAGAAGGAGACCCAACATGGGGCTGTCTGCTGGTTTAAAAAAAGAAGCCAGATCAAAGGGTTAGGGGTGTTGGTCAGTGGTAGGGCACTTGCCCAACATGAGCAAGGCCCTGGGTTCCATGCATGCAAGCACCATAAAAAATTAAAAAAAAAAAAATTAAGCCAGATCAAGCCAAGTGTTGGTGGATCATGCCTGTAATCCTAGTTACTTAGGAAGTTGGGATCAGGAGGATCACAGTTGGAGGCCAGCCTGAACAAAGAGTTCACAAGACCAATCTCCAAAATAACCAGAGCAAAATGGACTGGAGATGTGGCTCAAGTGGTAGAGAGCCTGCTTTGCAAGTGGGAAGCCCTGAGTTCAAACTCCAGTCCCATCAAACAATAACAAAGAAAAAGTCAGATCAAGCAAGAGCTATAGGACATGAGTTAAAGAAATTACTGCACAGTATCACTGTGTCATGGTTAAAAAGAAAGAGTAAATTTGTCTACAGACATGGAAAGATGCCTGCTCTACTTTCAGGATGAGGGTGAAACCTTCTGACACTGTCTGCAGTCTAGCCTCATGCCTCTTTGCTCAGTCCTTTGGACATGCCACATTCCACCGTATTCCTTCCACCTCTAAACTGTCCCCAGTGTATAGGCCAAATTCTTTGTTCCTAAGACCATGTGCCTTTTCTTCAGAGTTCTCCTCTGGGTTTTTAATTTCACATTTACTGGCTTGACATTTCAATGATTTCTTCCCCACTGGACAGTAAGGGCCCTGGGAGCAGGAATCCTAACTGAAGATTTGCTTAAAACCACCATTCCAGCACTAAGCACAAAAAGGGTGTGAACAGTAAACAGAGCATCACAGCCCAAGGATAGAGTGAGTGAGAAAAATATATTGTATAGTAACCATGGGTACAACCAGAAACAATCTGGGTGAAGAAAACATGAGGGTATATGTGGAAAGATTTAGAAGGCCATATTGCAAAGATGAAATAGTTTAGATCTATGCAAGATGACATATGCGACAACTGGGCACTTAAGATGTGGCTATTGCAAATGAGAAACTGAATTTTCGATCCTATTAATTTTTATTTAATTTCTTCTTTTCCCCCCTCCCTGCCCTCCTTCTCCTTCTTCTTTCTTTGTTTCTCTTTGTTTTTTCAGTGCTGGGGATGGAACCCAGGGCCTTGTGCATACTAGGCAAGCACTCTCCCACTGGGCTCCACTCCCACTCGTGTGTGGCAGTGTTGCTGTGTTGAACACTGCTACTGCAGACTGTCAACAGTGGTACCAATGAGAAGTGGGAGAAAAGGAGTTTTTCAGTTTTTTACCTCTAACCCTTCTGAAACTCTTTTGCAGAGTTGTTTTTTCTCTGTTTCCTTCCTTTTGTGTGTGTGTGTTTTGGACAAGTGCTTTTGCCGTTTTAATTTTTCTGAGTAGTATTTTACAGACATCAAGGCTGGAAGGAAGTTCATTATCTTTAGAAAGCTGAGAGCCTTGCCTTTGCAGAGAAACTGATCAAAGACTTTTAAAAAACAATACTTATTTTAAAATACAAAATTACAAAAGTGATAAGAAAAGAAACAAGGAGTGGAGGGTATAGAGCACTTACTTGTCTACCATGTGCAAGGCCCTGGGTTCCATCCCCAGCAAGGAAGGATAAAAAAAAAGAAAAAGATGAAAGGGCAACCTGGCAAAAAGACAGGGCCTCAGCATCAGCATCTATCCATAGAAAATGAGAAGTGACCTGTGATTCACTCAAGCAATGGGCCCCTGTCTAGTGAGGAGAGAACTTGGGCTCAGACTGCTGAGTGAAAGCAATCAGGCAGAGACAGCCTGTCCTGTATGATTCAATTGACCTAACCTCAGACAGGGGATGACCTTGGGAAGGGGGATAGTGAGAGCAGGTGCATGAGCAGGGGCTCCAGGGTGCTGGTCACCATCTGGGTGATGATTACACAAGTGTATTCACCGTGGGAAAGTTTGTGAGGCTATGCATGTGTGTTTTGTGCCCTTCCCTCACCTGGACAGCTCAGTACAAAGTTTCTATGAGAAACTGGGCATCTTACCTGGAAGTCTGAGCCAAGGTCCTTGGCTAGGATGATCTCTTTGGAGGGTCCCTGGGAGCCCAAGGAGGGCAGCGTGGAGAAGGGCTCTGGCTGCTCCTTGCCAGAGCCCCCCAGGACCACATCTGCCTTTCGTGCAAAGGTGTTGAGCTCCTGCTGGAGCATGCTCAGCCGCACCAGGATGGCATGGATAAGCTTAGTGTCCCTGGGCCCCTCACTGTTGTCAGGGGCCTCATGCAGCCGAAAGTCAGCACACTCGTTGTCCAGGCACAGCCGTAGGCCAGCCGAGAAGCCATTGGCATCAGCCACCAGGACATCAATGGCTTTACTGACCAGGATGGCCTGCTCCCGCAGCCCGGGCAGCGCCTCAGTGTCGCGGGTCCTGCAGAGCCGGGCGGCGTGGGGCTCGTGGGCCTCGCTCAGCGGCGCGGGCACACACTGGGCAGAGTCCCCAGCCTCGGCGTCCGTCTCCAGCATGGGGCGTGTGCTCTGGCAGGAGGCGAGGTCGCAGCGCTGCAGGTTGGAGAGGAGCACGCGGTTCTCGTACTGCAGCTTCTTGACTTTGCCGCTGAGCTCGCCGATCTGCAGCTTGGCCGCAGCCAGCTCCTCCTGCGACGGCTCGCTCAGCACCGAGCAGCTGTCCTCCGACAGCGTCACGTCCAGCTCGTGCTCGGAGCGGTACTTGGCCAGCTCGCTCAGCAACAACTTGTTCTGGTCCTCCAGCTCGGCGGAGGAGCGGCGTAGCAGCTCGGCCTCCTCTTCCACGAACTGCAGGTGTCGCCGCAGCTCCGCCAGGCTCTCCCCACACTCGCCGCCACCACTGCTGCCCAGCACAGAGAAGGCCAGCCGGGCCTCCGGCCCTCCGCAGCTGCCACCGTGATCCTTCATGTCATCCATCTCGGCGCGCAGGCCCCGGTTCTCCACTTCCAGCTCCACAATGCGGCGGCTAAGCAGGTTGGCCTCTTCCTCCACCAGCTTCAGGTGTACCTTGAGCTCGGTCTCCCTGGAGTGAGGGGCGTCCGCCAGTTCCTCCGCGGACAGGGCAGCGTCCAGGTCACCATAGAGCGAGCGGTACTTGAGCAGCTCCTCCTTCATGCTGTCGTTCTCCTTGGCTAGCTTGGTGAGCTTCTTGCACATGAGGGCCGACTCCTCCTTTGCAAAGTGCAGCTGGCATTTCAGGTCCGCACTGTCCTCCTAGAGCCAGATGGGCATGGTGACCGATGGGACGCAGGAAGGTTAGTGTCAGCTTGGTACCAACGACAGCATTTTGGGGGAGCACTAACTATGTGTTGGGGACATAGGTGTGAACCAGGCACAGCCCAACCCTCAATGAGGAGCTGGGGATCCAGAGAAAGTAGGCAGGGAAATAGATATTGCAGCCAGGACATAGCACCACCCACAGCCTAGGAATCTGGAATTATAAGAGATAATCTGATGGACGACTGTGGCTGCTGCTACTACCACCATTCCTACTACACTTTTCCCGCCTGGAAAATGATATATAAAAAGAGCATGAGACCCCGGCATTCTGGACCACTAGCATCAAAATACCACTGTATTTGGTGCCAGGCTCATGCAACACAGAGCACTTTATCTAATTCTTAAACCCACAAGATAGTGATAGATGGGGAAACTGAGGGCAGAAAGTTGGAAGTGATTTGCCCCAATCATATGGCAATCAAGAGGCAGACCCAAAGTTCAAGGTGTCTGTTTGGCAAGTCAGCCATTGCTGGTCTTGGGGGAGTCTGTGTATGTAAAAATCACGCTTCGGAGGGTGGTTTTGGGAAGTCAGCAGTGAAACGAGCAGTTGAACAGAGGAGGACAGGGTAGATGCTGGGGAGGGCTGGACACCTCTGGGGATCCCCCACCACATGGAGTTAGGCTCCAGCCTTCAAACCACAACCTGCTGTGGGACTGCTTGGCAGTACCTGTGCAGAAGGCTTCTTATCTGTCTTCCCCAGGGAGCGGGTTCCTCTTTTCTTCAAGGAATGCTGCAGGGAGAGAAGAAAGTCAGAACTGAAAGCTGATGCACCTCCCAACAGTAGTCACAAGGCCTGAAGTCACAATAAGGGCCCCAGCCCAACCCAGCCAAGTCCAGGCCTTGACCCTCACCCACTGCCAAGCCAGATGGCCCTCAATACCATCAAGCAAGCTGCAAAGTGGGGGCAGGCCAGAGCACTTTAGGAGATGACTCTGAACCCCCATACCCAGGGTTCCTCCCACTCTGTGCCACCCACATCGTGAGCTGTTGGCCTGGACCAAGAGCTGGAAATCTGGGTTTCTGTTCTTATTTGTCTTTCATTCATTTGTCAGACATTTCCTGAGCACCTGTCAGGCACAGCCAGGTGTAGAGAACACAGCAGTGAATGAGACAGATAGGGTGCCAGGGAGATTGCTATGGTGCCTGGCCCAGAACCCCCTTCAGGACTGAGATCCTCACTCCCCAGATAAGACCTTAAGAGCTGGGGCATGAATCAAGTGTTAGAGCACTTGCCTAGCAAGCATAAGGCCATGAGTTCAGCTTGGCACCAGTGACTCACACTTGTAATCCTAGCTACTCAGGAGGCAGAGATCAGGTTCGAGAGACCCTATCTCGAAAATACCCTTTGCACAAAATGTGTAGGCCTGAGTTCAAACCCCAGTACTGCTGAAAAAAAAAAAGGTCATGAGTTCAAACTCCATTCTCAAAAACAAATAAATAAATAAAAGACCTCCAAGCTCATGAGCTTTCCAGTGATGACTATTAACTGATGGAAGCCATCTTCTCTAAGGGCCTGTGCTCTCCCCGGACAGAGCCCTCATTTAAAGCCTAGTCCATGTCTCCTGCCTCAACTCCAAAGGGCCACTTGACCTCCAGAGCTCCTCATGGGATCCCTGAGGCTGTCGGTATGATTCAACTTTACCTCTGCCTCACCCCTGGTGGTGTTAAAGCCAAGGGGATGCTTCCCTAAATGTCTGCATGCAAATTTTCACCTCACAGGGACTGTCATTTCATGGGAACTTGAATTCAAAATGAATACTAATAGATGGAGTGAATGTGGATACAAAAAATCAAAAAATTACACAGGGGTCTCAGAAACGATCACAAGGGAATGATGACAAGGATTGAAAACTCCACAATCTCTAGAGGAAAAAAAAAAAATCAATGATTTGATTACATAAGCATGGGGGGAAAACACCCTTAAGAAAATAAAAACATAAATAAAAAATTGGGAAAGAGATTTGTAGTTCATAACACTGAGAAAGGCTTGGTGTTCTAAATATATAAAGAGCTCCATAAACACAGAATTTAAAGGTCAACAAACCTATAGGAAGAAGGGCTACAGAAATAGAAAGAGTTCCCAGGAAATCACAGAAAAATGGATCTTAGCACTATAAGGTGCTCAACCCACTCACAGTGGAGAAATTCCAATAAAAACTACACTAAGCCACTTCTCTGAGATTGGCAAAAACCCAAACCATTTGACAGTATATACTATTGGTGACACTGTGGAGAAACAAGAACGCCCATGTACTGCTGGCAAGATTACAAATGGCACAAGCCCTGTGTCGGGGAATCAGAGGAAATGCTGCAGTATCAGTACTGGATTTTGTTGCTGTTTAAAAAAGTCATTCACTGAGACACAAGATTCTACAGAGCACTTCCTCCCAGAAGAGGAGTGACTCGTGCTGGCGGTGTATGAAACCACACTGAAGTTGCTTGGACTTTGCAAGCAGGGCAGGGATGCTATATTTCTGGAAATACCCCCAGGTGATGGATACATGCTCAGCTCAACCCTCACTTCTCACACTCCATCCTTGAAGGTGAGAGCCAGTGACTGGGTCCAAGGCCCATTTCCTGAAACCAAAAAGGAGAGGGGCAGGGACTTGTCCAAGGACCCACAGCAAATCCATCGCCAACCTAGGTCTGAAGGACTGATTTTTTTTAAATATTTATTAACTTTTTAAAAATTTTTGGTGGGACTGGGGTTTGAACTTAGGGCTTCATGCTTGCAAAGCAGGCACTCTACTGCTTGAGGCACACTTCCAACCAATTTTACTCTGGTTATTTTAGAGATGGAGTCTCTGGAACTATTTGCCTGGGCTGGCCTCAAACCATGACCCTCCTGATCTCAGCCTCCCAGGTAGCTAGGATTACAGGTACAAGCCACAGGCACACAGCTCTAGGACCGATTCTTGACATAATTCTTGATCAAGTCCCAAAGACTCAGTAGGAGAAAATGTGCCTATAATGAGGGACAGCATGGAGCTAGCCCGGTGGTTCTCAACCTGGGCACACATCAGGATTACCTGGGAGGATTAAAAAAAATACTGATGCCCCAGACCAAAGATTCTGATATAATTAGTCTGGGGTACATAGGTGTCAGGCATCAGGATATAACAGAACTTCCCAGGTGATTCTAAAGCCAGAGATTGGGGCAGGAGAGGCATTTAAATCTATCTTAAAGCCCAATCAAGCCAGGTGCTAGTGGCTCATGCTTATAATCCTAGCTGCTTGGGAGCTACAGTTCTAGGCCAGCCCAAGCAAATAATTGGCAAGACACCTCCCCCCCGCCCCGCCATCTCCAAAATAACCAACACAAAATGGACTAGAGGTGTGGTTCAAGTGGTAGAGCATCTGCTTTGCAAGTGTGAAGCCGAGTTCAAACCTCAGTTCTGCCAAAATAAATAAATAAATAAATAAAATTAAAGGTCAATCAGATCCTAGAGACCTTTTGGGATGCTTATGAGGCAGGAAGTGGAGACTGATATGGCTGGTGTACTAAGAGCAGGGAGACTGGGATCTTTCAAAATGGAGAAGAAAAGGGGGAATGGGGATGGGAGCCCCAAAATGAGCCTTCACAAGAGTCTGGGTACCAGGATATGGGCCCTGCAGTGGGCTGCTCAAAGGCAGACTCTCCATGGTGCAGCGAGGTGGGGTCTGGTCAGACCATCAGCCTTACAGATCTGAACCTACCATCACCAGCAGCGTGGGAAGGCTGCTGTCTCAGGTGGGAGAGGTTCTTGGGCTCTCACTCACTGGGGAAACCCCTTCCTCTTCACGCAATTCCATTGTCTCATCTATAAAACTGGGCCAGGGGTTAGATGACTACAACTCCCTTCTGCCATTTGGCTCTCTGGAGGAAGTAAGTAAAGTCACAGGGAGGCAAACCATGGGTCTCAAGAGGCACTGAGACACCCCAAGCATCCTACATGCATAGTGAGGTAACGTAAAGCCATCAGAAAGGACTGAGGGATCATGAGAGTCAATGACATGTAAAGTCCCTGAGATACCCAGTTCATAAGAACAAGTGTCTGCAAAACAAAATCTATAACCCAAACATGGCCACCAACTAAGGAACAGAGGAGCAAAACGTGGCCTGTTCATGCAATGGAAAGCTATCCAGCCAGGAAAGGAATGAAAGCCTGACACACGGTATAGCATGGACGCACTTTGAGGACATCACACCAAGCAGTGAAGCCAGACGCAGAAGGCCACACACAGCACAGTTCCATTTACATGAAGTGTCCAGCCCAGGTCAATCCACAAAGACAGAAAGTACATCAATGACAGTCAAGAGCTGGGGAAGGAGGAAGTGGGGTGGGGGGTGTGCAATGTTAATGGTGTGAGGTTTCTTGTGGGGTAACAAAAATGTCCTGGAATTAGACAATGGTGATGGCTGCGTGATCCTGTGAATATGCTAAAAGCCACTGAACTGTGCAGAAAGATAAACCTGGGCTGGGGGTGTGGGCCAGTAGTACAGCACTTGCCTAGCATGTGCAAGGCCCTGAGTTCAATCTTAGCACTGCCCTGCCCCAAAAAAGCAAACTTCATAATATGTAAATTATATCTCAATAAAACTCTTACTGAAAACCCCAAACCATCAATTTCCAGTACTGCCAAAAAAAAAAAAAAAACCAACCCAAAATAGACAGCATATTTCCACTGTAACAAAAATATGTATGTGTTTGTATGTGGTTACAGAATGTGCACTGAGAGAAGATCTGTCAGTGAGAATACAAGGCTTAAACCTACCACTTTTCCCCTCATCTTTCTATTTTTTTTTTTAAGAGAAAAGATAGGGAACATAGTCTTTCAATTTTTTTCCTTTTTAAAATTTCTTAGCTGGGAGCTGGTGGTGTGGTTCAAGTGGCAAAATACCTGCCTAGCAAGCACAAGGCCCTAAATTCAAAACCTAATACTAACCCCCCCCAAAAATTTTTTAAGGTGGGCATGGTATTGAAAGCCTGTAATCCCCTACTGGGGAGACTGAGATTAGAGGATCAGAGTTCAAATCTAACCCAGGCAAAAAGTTAGTAAGACTCTATCTCAACAATAACAACAAAAACCCAACATGCTAATACACCACTGTAATACCAACTACATGAGAGGCGTCAGAAGGAGGATCAGGCTGGCCCAGGCAAAAAAATGCAAGACCCAATCTGAAAAATAACTAATGCAAAAAGGGCTGGGAGTATGGTTCAAGAGGTACAGCATGCATGAGGACCCGAGTTCAAACCCCTGTACCTCCAAAAAAAATCTTTAAAAATATTGAATATTGTTAAAAAAATTAATTAGTATACAAAAATGCATTTTCATTATAGAACATGTATGACAAGCAGATAAAGCCAAAGCCCCCTCCCCCATTTTGTGGCTCCCCCTTCCTCCTCCCCTCTCTGAGGGCCCCAGCCCTCACTCTTCTGGGGCTCTTTTTAGACTTTTGGCTCTGTGTTTAAAAGACTGAAATAGATGGTGCTGTTTGGGACTTTCCCTTCCTTTGTTTATTTGATTCTGTGATCTTTGATTTTTATAATAAGCACCTGAGGCAAAAGAAAACTCCAAAACATCCAGCATTTTAAAAAGTCTACATCCATCTTGTACATTTTAGAACAAAGTATATAATATAATCCCATGTGTTGTTTTTAATACAAAGAAATGCTCATTGTTGAGCATACAGAAAGATCTGGAAAGATACAAAGCACATGGCTGATAATGATCCTAGGTGAGGCC